GTGCTCTGCCACCCTCAAAGTAAAGAAGTTCTTCCTCATGTTGAGGTGAGACTTCTTGTGGTCATTTCTCATTGCCCAGTCTCTGGGCACTGCTGAAAGGAGTGTGGCACTACTCTCTTGACACCCGCCTTTGAGATATTTCAGTGCATTGAGTCCCCTCTCAGTCTTACTTTTTCAGAACGGGCCCAGCTCCTGCAGTCTCTCCTCATAAGAGATGTTTCAGACCTCCTCATCTTCCTTGAATTGCAGGGGCTAGAACTGGACACAGCACTCCAGATGTGGCCTCACTAGGGCTAAGTAGAGCGGCAGGATCGGTTCTCTCAACCTGCTTTCCACACTCTTCCCAATGTACCCGAGGATCCCAATGGCCCTCCTGGCCACAGAGGGCACTGCTGGCTCATGTGTTGGAGTCTGGAGTACAGAGTGTGTGCCCTTGTTTCTGATACTTAGTTATAAGATCCAAAAAAACACTGAATTTCATATAATATGAAATTCATGAGCGTGTTTTCATGGTGATACATGAAAACAAATGTTAAAGTTAGATGGGAAAAGCTAAAAGTGTAAGTGTGTAGATGAGAAAGTATTTTTAAATCACTGGGTGTAAAAGTTAGTTTAGAGAACAGGAGACAAGATGGAGGATTTAGGGTGTTTAATTGGGTAAAAATAGGTATAAAGATAAAAGAACTGCGTATTTCAGGGCCATTTTGTGCATCAGACACGAAGTGTGCCACAAGGCCTTGTTTGTACCATCAGAAGAAAGAAATGTACCAGATGGCAAAGATTAACCTTGTGTAGCCAGCCTGGAGAGACCTGTCAAGTTTTGTGATGACCTTTTAATAAACACGAGAAACAAGATTCTAATGAGCTCGGGAGTTTTCTTCGAATCATAAGAACTGAGATAAGCAGGGCTCCCCACGAGGGAGGATCCCAAAAGAATTCAGTCCAAAGGAGGCTGAGAATCCAAGAATAAAAAGAAAAAATACAGAAGAGATGCAGCAGAAACAGAGAAACAGAAAAAGGATTTTTTAGAGAAAAGTTACATCATGGACAGCTTGTTGCACTCCAAGCTCCTTGCCCACAGAGCTGCTCTCTAGTAGGTCAGCCCCCCTGTGCTGGTACTTGGGGTTATTCCTCCCCAGGTGTGAGACCCTACACTTGCCTTTGTTGAACCTCATAAGGTTTCTCTCCATCCAACTCTCAAGCCTAAGGTCCTGCTGAATGGCAGCACAGCCTTTGAGTGTATCAGCTTCTCCTACTCAGTTTCTATCATCTGCAAATTATTCTGAATTATCCTGTAAGGTATATATTGATCTTGTGCCTCTGTAAAAAAAATACTTTGTATTTTGTCATGGAACGATAATTAAAAGCAAAATTGTGCTGAAATGAAAGAGCCAGAGGGAACTCTTTAAAACAAAGTACATGAAGTAATATTTGAGCCAGAGTTGCACACCAGTGAGTGCCAAGACTAACTATTGCTGTGTCTGTCAAATTTGGGAATGTAAATGTCATGCCAAAAATGAAAGAAACCTTCACAAAGAAGTAAGAAATTTCACTGTTGCCAGAACTACACAGGAGTTCATTTAGATGCTTTGCAAAATCTCACCAGGGTAATTCATGGTGAGAATTTAGAAAATGTGAGAGTTGTAACTGTTCAAACTATTGGAGAAAAATGATTGTCTGAAGAGAATTCTTTCACTAAAGGCAGTCTAATGACCAAGCAACTGAAGATCAGTAAAGATTTTAGCTTGACTATTTGACATGAAGCAACTTTTTGTGGTTGATTTCCCAGATAGCTAGGAGTTATTAATGAGCTAGAAAGACAGCAGGGATGTGACTTGTAGGAGTTTTGCATTTGTCTGCCTCTTGTGGTTTTGGGGATGGTGCTTGCCTCTGCTTCTCTGCTTTTATATTCTCACTTCTGGAACCTGGAAGCCTATCTTAGGATTCAGACCTATCTTAGGATTCAGAGAGAAGGGCAGGACGGTTGTGCATGGCTGTGTTTGATTTTTCTCCTCTTAAAGACAGATATGACTTTTGAAATTCACAGAGGAGAAGGGCAGGGAATTTGGAAAGCTAGAACTTGAAATAACATGCAGGTAGAATTTCTGTAATGCGGAACAAATTTTACTCCACAGCAGATTTAGTGTAATACATGAAAGATACCACCATTGCAAAATGCTGTTCTTGAGACTGTTTTTGACTCTTTATGGGATTGCTCAACCTCAAATCAAATTGTTGGTCCAGTTATAGCTCCTTTGACCCTAATACAGTATATATGTGAAGTTGTATAAAGATGACAACATGTGTGTAATGGTAGTTGCTTGTAAATACAACAGTCTGAAATAGTGTGCTGTGCCTTTTGGGACCTTATTGCTGGTTTACACACATATTGTTAATTTGTTGTTTTCCCACACCTGATTCTAGTACACTTAGACTGTAATTTGGCTTTACATAGAAATCTAGTATGAGGGAGCAGGTGGAAGAGGGAGTACATTGGCAATTTCTTTATCTGCTTCCCAGCTAATAATGAGTTTTCATTCTTCAGTGAGCAGAGACAAAGTGAACTTAAAAAACTTTTCAATTGTTGAAAAACATGGCTGCATCCACTGAAGAATAGGATCAAAGGAGATGCTTGAACAGCCTCTCTCTGAAGGCTGCTCAGTCACAGCCTTGCTTGTGCAGCACAGAGCTTTGAACCCCTGCTCAGTTCTGGCAGCTGGCAGCAGTTTATAAGTCTGTGTTTTAACCCTCCATCTGCCTTCCCAATGCTATCTTTGGTCTGGTTCCATGGTATCTCAAGGATTAGCGGTGTGCATACTCCAACAGCTTTGCATGTCTCTTGGCAATATCCGGCTTTAAACTTAATACAGTAGGAGGTCATTCTTCCCATTGCTGTGCTTCTTATTTGTTTAGATTTCATGCAGTCACTGGATCTGCCACAAGCTTCAAATTCTTGAATGATTGGTTGGCCAGCGAGAGCACGTGTATAACATACTGATAAGTGACACATTTTTGTCATTGTTTCCAGACTGGTGTCGTTCGTTACGCCTGTCGTTTTGTGTTCAGTGGTAATCTCTCTCAGCTGTTGTATGCTGACGTGTCTTAGCAAACTATTGCTGTCAAAGTACCTGAACAATTTCATTATGCTTATATAAACAATTATCTTTGTTGTTTTAACACTTATCTTTCTAAGTAGGGATGTTAAGGCACAGCTGAGATGAGAAAGCATTAACCCAGTTTTTAGGGCTCAGAGCTGTAGAGTGTGGGTATGTGCCCACCACCTGCCTCACACCCATGCCAAGTGAGGATAATGGCACAAGAGTCATCTAAGGAGGCTCAGAGTTGGCATTGTCTTAAAAATTTCCTTTGTGCAAGGATGTCTGTGAAATTTTATTTACTTGACTTTGTACTTACTAGAGAAAAAGCAGGTATTTGTCCAAAGGAAAAAGGAGAAAATATCTCCTGTGATACCCCTAGCTGTTGGAAAGGGAGGTGTAAGAGCATCACCAGGAATTTTGACTCTGATCTAAGAAATAAAATAAAATACATAAGAATTGACAGGCAATAAATATTCTGTTTCCGTTTCACTTTTCAGAGTCCTACAAATGTAACACTGTAAAAACTGTGCTGAATATTATCAAATTATTTTGAATAGACTCTTAAGAAAAGCTCTGCTCTGACTCATATGGTACTTAATCAGAATGAAATGTGTCAAGAAGTTCTTAACTCTTGCTGATGCTGCCAATTGTTTTTCTAGAGCATGATTCCTTGCTTTAAACTTGATGACTTCTTGAAACGCTATTGCAGTTTTATTTTGTTCAAATTTATTTTAAGCCTGACAATGTCTCCCTCTAATTTGGATTTCTTCTCCAACAACTTAACACTAAATAAATGCATTTCAGTCCTCTAATGTTTAAGAATAGATAAGTTAATCTTCACTGCCTTGGAATAGCAATTTTTGGTTTAATCCTGAACACTCACAGTCACACTTTGGAAATGCCACTCACCCACTGCTAGCTCTTTCCAGAATGAGACAAGAAATTAAATTCTGAGATTTCTGAAGCCATTAGCCATTAGACTCATGCAACTCTATAAAAAACAGGGAAAAAAAAAAAAAAAGAGGGTGCATAATTAACCAAAACAAAAATGTGTTACTCAAGATTTGCACGCGTCTCAATTTGAAATCCCCAGAGGGTTTCCCTGCGTTTTGCAGATTCCGTGGAGAATTCCCAGCTGATGCCTGGCTGTCACAGTGGCGGCTGGTGTCCCTGGGCACAGCAGGGAGGCTGGAGGGCAGGGATCACACCGTGCTGTTCGCTGTGGTGGCCACCGGGTGTCATTCTAGGAGCAGGCTTTGGCCAGCCCAGGAGCACCACTGTGGCAGCAGCACTGGAGGCTTCAAACTGGAAATTGCTTTGCACCAAATCAGCCCCTAAAGCAATGATTGTTTACCTTCTGTATCTCTCTCTCTATATATATATTTTAGTAATTGTTCTAAAGTATAAACGGTGTTGTTAACTTCCATCTCTGCATTCAGAATGTGAAACACTGGGGTGTAAGAGAAAGCACTGAGGGAATCAAAGACATTTGTGTTAAGATGTTCTGTAAATGCTACACATGCAGCCAGGGAAAATTCTGCATCTACCCATCAAATTTGCATGAACTTTTGCATAGAGAATTTTTGAAGATGCTAATGTATTTTTTTAATGACTATTTTGTGGTGGGTAGCTGTTTTGAATCTATACATAACTGACATTTTACAATTAAAGCGCAGGAAGAACGAGGAGGAGGAGGAATGTCTTTTGGACACACAAAAGAATCTCTTTACAGTTTTGGGGTTTTTTTTTCCCCCAAGTCATGTCAAATAGAGAGGGAAATCCTAGAAAAGGTCCACAGCACCATGTAAGTCACCAATATGGGCTTAGGTGGGTGTTACACTGAAAAAGAAAGTTGTATTCAGTGTTTAACATATTGTTGGGCTTGTTTTTAATCATTCTTAGGAGGGGTTCATCTGGAAGAATGAGCAAGAAGGTGCACTGGATATTTCAAGAACAGAAATGGTAGCATGAAAAGAGCCTAAGAAGAGAAGGAGATGAAAGTTTTAATGAAGTGGAGTAAGATCCATCGTACGTAAGGCAATAGGGACAGATTTTGGTAGAGGGTTATGGTGCTTTAAAAGTGAAAATGTTAAATCTGAACTTAAAGCAGAAGTACACTGGAGGAAAACTGGGTTGGAAATAGGAGTAGGAGTTAGGATGTTGGAGAGCACTTTCAATGTACTGTAATGAGGAAAAAAAGGGATTGTTTTGTCCTCTCTGTCCCTGTTTATCTTCAGCTTAGCGTATTTGCTTCTTCAAGTTACAAAATACAATGAAGTTGAAAGCATTGGAGTCAATCCTAATAAATAAACCTGGAGGCCCGTGTAGAATGCTACTAAATTGCTGGGAAGTTTTTCAGGAAAACTTGGAATGGACTCATTGCATATGATCCTTACAAAACCTCCAAACCCTACTCCCCTCCATGAAATGTTAGTTCACATTTATTCTATATGGCATTTATCCCTCAACAAAGATACTTGGTTTGCTTGATATTTATATACTAAGTACATTGGTATATAAGTATTTATATACCAGGTATATTTATATACCAGGTATATTTGAAAGTTTGCTTAAATTTTAAATATATTTGCATAAAAATATATAAAAAGTCACATATTTAAATGTTTTTTATCCTAGATGGCACACAGAGGCCTGTCAACTCCACCTTGATAAAAAGTCACATATTTAAATGTTTTTTATCCTAGATGGCACACAGAGGCCTGTCAACTCCACCTTGACCTACAGAATTAAAACTGTTGCCCCTTGTCCTGTCACTATCTGCCCATATAAATTGCCTCTTCTTTTCATAGAACCCTTTTAGGTACTGGAAGGCTGCACTGTGAAAATGGCTTCAAACTGAAAGAGGACAGGTTTAGATGAGATATTAGGAAGAAAATCTTTATTGTGAAGGTGGTGAGACACTGTGGTGAGACACTGGAAAAGGTTGCCCAGGGGAATTGTGCTTGCCCCATGCCTGGAAGTGTTCCAGGCCAGGCTGGGGCCCTAAGAAACCTGATCTAGTAAATGGCATCCCTGCTTCTGGCTGGAACTAGGTGATCTTTAAAGGTCTTGTCCAACCCAAGCTATACTATGATTCTATGAATGCCCAGAGGCTGTCAGGGGGCAGATATTTTTCATCTTTATAAGTTAAGAGCAAATTTTATGATGAGTTTATATGATGCAGGGGATTTTAGGGAGTTGGTTGGAGAAGGGCAGGCACATTTGTCTTCCCTGTGGAGGCTGATGCTCCTCCTGCTATCTTTGAGATGAAATAGTTCTCAAACTTAGAATTCCAAAATGCAGCTGGTTTGATGTAAAGATTTTTTCTGAAGCAGCTGGATGACTTATGACTGTCCAACAACTTGTGAGTTAAGTGAAATACAAAGTTTGGGTTTTGGTTGGATCAGACAAAGGAACATTAAATTTTTTGTCATTCCACTATGGTATTTCTAGTAATGTCAGATCTTGAAAGCTTGCCTCCTTTTTAACCAATAGCTGTTTTAAAGACTGTCACATCTGCAGCCAGTAAGTTTTCCTCTGAAGGTACTTCCACAAAGAATATGGAGTAAGTTTCTCAAAGAACTTGCTTTCATTTGAGCTGTTTTTACATCAGAAAATTTGTGGGTTTTAAAACCCACATTTCAAAAAAATGCATGTGCCCCAATTCTTTGTGCTTTGCACCATTATTGTCTGTACCACACTATCTGAGCTCATATTGGGTTAATCAGGATGACTGCTCTGTCGTGTGGTGCTTTTCTTTCTCTTCCCTCTTGCCTCCCAAATTTCTCTCCAGGAAGAAAGTGGTGTCTGTTATATTCTGTATGTATGTTTGAAAGGTCTTACATACACGTGCTACTGTGCAGGTGTTTAGAGATGGCAAAGCCAAAGTGGTGTGTGAGTTTAATTCAGAAGAGACACTCCTTGCAATAGTGGCTGATGTGAAGGAATGCTGATTTTAATTCAGTCCAGAATCTGCTTTCTGGGGATTTTGGACATCTTATGTGTCAGGATTTGATGGTTTGAAGGAAAAAGTCAAGAGACTCCAAACCAGCTGGATGGCAGCTGAAACAACTGTCATCTCTCAACAGCTGAAAGCAGCAAAACTGATAAACACAGGAGCCAGGCAGGAGTGGAATGTCAGTGGAACCTGAGGGACGAGAGGGGGAACCAGCCAGGTGTGGCTGAGGAGTTTAAAACTCAGTGGAACAGCACTGTGCTACCAGCTGCTCCAGGACCTTTCCTGGGCATGATAGCATATTCAACTGCTTCAACTAACTCGTTTTAATTAAGGTATGAAGCCATTTAAGTATTTCTTTGGCAAAAGCAGTATGATCAGTGATTGTGAATGATCTTACTGCTGCTATTTTCCAAGTTTTAGTGCTCTATTAAAAATCACTTTGTGTCATTTCTAATTGCTGCTTTAAGGATTGTCACTTCCATTGCCAGTGAAGTTGCTTACTGGAATAATGCCATCAAGAAAATACAACCCACGTCCATTTAAAGGCTACAGATAAGAGATTGGAGGTGGATTTCAGGCTTTAAAACACATGTTGGTGTTCCTGTTCCTTACAGGATTTTTCACATTTTTAGTGTGTTCTGCTGGATGCATGCCACCTGTTTGGGAGTGAAAGCATTTGCCAGCTTCGTTTTGCCGGGGGTTATAATAATACACGGTTCACCCAGAACTTTTGGTGTGTCTCTCAACCACCTTTCCTTTGCAACAGAGTATTTATTGACTTGTACCTGCCTGAGGGAGCTTCTTCCCAGAAGCTGTCATGGGCAGTACAATTCCCACCTGGGCTCTTTGGAGGCTGATCCTTGACAGGAAACATTCCTTCTTCCCTGGATGCTGTTAAAACCTTTAGTTTTCTTCTTATCAATCTCTCATCTTCCTCCTTCTCCCCACCATACCTCTAGACAGGCTCAGGAATAAAACAGAAGGATCTATATATCAAATATTTACAAACAGGATTTTAGGTTACAGACTGAAAACAATTTATGAAAATCTTTAAACTAGAATTTTGTTTTATAGCTCAGATTCATAACTGCCTAGCTTGCTAAATCTTCCTTTTACCCCAACATCAGTGCTAGGAGTTCAGTGTGCTGTGACACCTTATTTCACAATGGTTGCAGTTTCTTCTGAATTTTCTTCCAGTGCCTGTTTCTGCCTTAGTGGTAAATTTTAGGAAATGGATGAATTGCCATGAAAAGAATGACAGTTAAAAGAGAAAAGCTGGATACTTTGCAGTGAATTCAGCTACCTCAACTGATACGCAGTTTACTGAGCCTTAAGTGAAGCACTTTTGATCGGATGGTCACTAAAGAGCTACTCATTTTTTAGCAGTTCAAAGGATGGCACAACAGCTGCTCACTTTGACTTAGTACTTTCATTTATATTAAATGTCACCACACACATAACACACATTCTATGAAGACAGTGATTTTTAAACAAGTACCAAATTTGTCTTGTGAGTACATAAGGTCTTATTGACACAGTTAACTGATGTCGCCACATATTGTTGGCTTAGATGTACCTATGAGAGCTGGGCTTGTTTTCAAGTGTGTTCCCAGGGTGTCTTCTCAATCCTGTATTGAGAATCAGAATTCTCAATTCTGGGGAATCTGTAATCCCCAGAAAAAGGGTTTGTTTTTATTTTTATATCTTTTATAACAAGTTATGCTAAACAGTTTGGGGGGTTGCAACAGACCTAATTATACTATTGTGTTCTTAACGAGACAGAAAAATGGTATGTTGCATACAAGTAGTAATTACTGGAAGACTTAGAAGATATATTTGAAAAAAGACCCACTGGTAACAGCTTAAAATATTGTAGCTGCTGCAGAGTTTGCTTTTAATGTTAGGTTGGGTGTATATTCATACACAATACATCTAGTTACCAAGTCTGACTTAACTAGTAGTTGTCTTGTTTATGATGTTGAGCAAACAAAACAGAGAAAAAAATACCACAATTTTGAGGTTTGCTTTCAGTCCTGGTTTTGTTTGGTTGGTTGTTTTTTTCCTTCTTTTTAAAGGAACGGTATTGCTGAAAATCTAAGAGGGTTTGAATGTGTTATCTTGAGCTGGGTACTGCTGAAGCTGAATTTCACCGTCCCTCTATTCAACTTCTTCAATGTGGAACATCTTTAGAAGATGGGAGGGGGGAAAAACATCTCAATTTTACCAGAACAGAATATTCTCCGTAAATGTCTGCCTATATAGAGGCACATAGAGAAACATCTGCTGCTTCCACAGTGATATCATCCTTTTCTTGAATAGTTGTAGACCACAAGGACCACAGAACAAGGGAGGGAGTTTAGGCAGGCCCTGTTAAGGCTTAATTGCCATGTTTAGGCACTGTTTTTTACTCAGGAGCACTGGAAAGTGAGTCTCCTAACTCAAAAAACCCTTTCTTGTTTCTTTCTGGTAATAGGATTCTAAACTGAGACCTTGCATCTGTACATACATGGCCTGATCTCCTCTGAAAAGACAGAAGTTTGTGGGGTTTCCTCAACAGGAGAAAGCTCTATTTGTAGTTGTTAATTGTTGCATGGATGGGATGTTCCTGGTAATCCAGTGTGGTGCAGTGTTTTGAGATGCATTGACCATTTTTAACATTGCTGAAATATATTTGAAAAAGAGAGTGTATAATCACAAGTAACTTGAAGTGTGAAAATGCTTGAATGCAATGATGACCACCTGCCTCTATGGGAAAAATAAGAATATTAAACACCAGAAAATTAGCTCTGTCTTTCTGCCTTTTTTTTTTTAGTGTCAGGCAGGTTTTTTAGTGTCAAATGAGAAACTGATAACTCTTACAGTAAGAGCTGGTGCTTGAGAGAAGCTAGAACAGAATTATTTCTCCTTCCTCTAGTTCATAAGACAATACTCAGGTCATGTAACTAAGACTTAAGCATGGAGGTTTGTGCTTGCTGGGAAAACAATGTTTGGTGAAGTGTTTGTTTTCTCTCCCTTCATGTATAAATTAGCTAAAACTTAGCTAATGAACCTATGCAATAAAGTTCCATTC